AGCAAGCGCCACGGGTTGGACTTCTACACAGAATAGTGGCCAAGATTAAACGATTGTTTCACTTACGCGGGGATTTGGGGTGGCCATGCAGGAAGCAGATCGGCGTCAGTGATCTTTTCAGAGAAATCCTATAACAATAAACCGGTTTCAAGGAACGGAATGCTCCCATAGCCCTCCAAAGATAGTTCCAGGCAAAATGCTCCCATGGCCTCCCGAAGATAGTTCCTGACAAAATGCTCCCATGGCACCCAAGAAATTCCGAGGTTTTGAATCCCACTGACTAAACCGTGCATACTCACAAGTTAATCTAAAGCAGATCATGGATAATTCTCACAAATAGCAGCTTGTAATATCGATGGCTATTTCATTAACAAATAAGAACTCCAAAACACATTGCGTTTTCCAGAAAAAAGACTCGAGCACGAATTTTCCAGTCCTGCTGCTGCTAGTAACAGTATGTAACATAAGTTACGCTTGTTATTGATTTGTTTACCATTTTGTTTATACTTTTGACAAATTATACCTATTTGTAGTTGAAGAACTTAACAATTGTGAAGGCTCTTTCAGCACCTGCTTGTTCTCCTCAACTGGTAAACAAGGTCCTTGCTCTTCGACGTTATCAGCAGATAGCATGCGTACTTTTTGAACAGTTCTACTATAAATATTCCTGAAAAAATTGATAAAGAAAAACCTCGTAGACGAAAAAATCCCGCTCAGAAATCTGAAGTTGAAATCAAACAGACTCCTCACCATCACAAAAACAAAAAAAAAACAACGGGTGCTTCTGCTAAGTCTTGATAACGAAGGTATAGTAAGAACTCCTATGGCACCGATAGTACTCGATCAGCAAATCAATAAGTAAACAAAAGTAGGCAGAAGATTATAGTAAGCTTAAGTCTCAGACAAAAGCCTTCTAGTGTTGATCAACCCCATTTTAGAGTGCGCCCTGCATACGATATTCATTCAGGATGGTAGCTGTGATTGAATGCGCCTTGGCCTAATGTTTTGAGGTGGACAGCCGATGTACAGGCCACCTACCTTACCCCATCAACGAGTCTGATACTGGCTAACGGGCCACAAGGGGACAATTTGGACTTACTCATGACGGTGTGGCTATGGGTGCTCGTGTGCTGCCCTTGATATTAAAGTCGGTTCGTTTGTATCAATTCACTTTTTAAGAAGTCGGCTATTCCACATATTACATGTAATAAGCCCATTAAGCCATTGGAAAATAGCCTCGTACATTTTAGCATACATTTTACGACTGAAGTGCAGTGTAATATAAAAAATGTGGTGTTCGATCACGACCAGTGAAAGTCTTTTTCCAGGGAATGAGCTCAATTTTACTGCCGAACGAAGTTCACCCGTACCCAAACCTCCCCAGATACATCGACTGGTAACTACTTTAATACCGAACCTGATCAGAGGTTTGGAAGTGTGACTGATCAATGGCAATACAGAGAAACCAGCATATGATACAAACAAAGGCAATTACGTAATGTACTGGTATAGCCAGGAAGTAAATCGAAGAAAAACTGATGGAAAATGATTTATTTGGATACGTACGTTGAATGAGTAATTCCTATGATGAAGTCATGAAGGAAAAACGTCCCCAGGAAACCTGCACAGACACCACTGTCACTGTTACAACACCTTAGATCAGGCACTGTCTAGGAAGTATAGCCAGGAAGTAAATCGAAGAAAAACTGATGGAAAATGATTTATTTGGATACGTACGTTGAATGAGTAATTCCTATGATGAAGTCATGAAGGAAAAACGTCCCCAGGAAACCTGCACAGACACCACTGTCACTGTTACAACACCTTAGATCAGGCACTGTCTAGGAAGCAAGTGACGGTGAACGTTTCTGACTTTTGGAAGGTTAATTGTCAATGATCGGAAGACAATAAAAGGGCTTCCCAAAAACTGTAATCGGCTTACATAGTGCATTGATAAAGAGGATAAGATAATATAGGAATAATAACGATTGTGATAGATTAAGAACTCTAACAGCAGGGTACCCAGGTGGAGACAGCCGATCGAAGGCCGGCAGTGTAGGAGAGTCTTCTCGAAGCGATTCGTCACGTAAGGAATCTAAAGCTAGCTCCCACAGAGTTTGAAAAATGGTTCCCATCTGCCTATTCAGTGGTTTCGGGAAGAATCGATAGTTAAGTGATGCGCCATGCATATGTAAATTCAGTTCCTAATATCGTCTCAATTCTGTACCATTTGATGCTACTTTAAAACTGACTGGCATAGATGAGCTTTTACAGCCCCTGAACAAGGATTAGGCCTGACATGTGGGGCCTAGCGAGGGCTCTCATTGACGCTAGACTGGAGCATGGATGAGAAAACATGTAATGTCGAGGGTTAGACCGTTCCGGATGGACTCAACGGGTACAAATAAGTGAAATCCAATGATTTACCTGAAGTCACGATCAGGCGAATCATCTCATCTTCCGATAGGAAATCCGAAAAAGGATGTTTTAATGATTCGGTAGAGATCTACATTATCACTGTGCTTTTTGAACCTCTGCATTTGAGGAATACGGAATTTTTGAATATTTTCAGAAAAGTTCAATTAATGTAATTGAGATGGAGGTAGAGTAATAAGCAATTAATCCATAAAGAGAACGAAGGTGGCATGACATCAGAATCAATTATCTCTTATCATTTATTAATTGACGTAAGAAACAATAGATGGCAGCAGAAATGGCTATTGTTGGGACGATGGAACATCGCTCTTTCCAGACGACGGTTACTTTTTGTGAGAATGTCTGACGTTACCACTTTAATGGCTACTGAATTCAACTTTACCTATACCGACATGATGATTCAGTTCCAAACCTGAAACTGGGAATGCCATAAACCTGTGGCGTCATCAGTGACTAGACCATATCCGTTCAACTGCAATGGTATGAGCAGGGATCACAGAAGTAATAAAATATATTTTCAAATGGGTCGTTACTCACGATTACTGAACTAGTTTCGTAGACGCCCAAAGTAAAATGAGGTTAAGTCAGGGGAGGAGCCATTTAATTTGTACTGGCTACATAAGCTTGTCATGGAGGGCAGGGTGTGGCCTGGTAGCCAGAGATTTCTTTGCTATCACCAAGGGACATTCCAAAAATTACTTCAAATCAAAATAATTACGGGGGTTTCTGTTTCTTTACGAGTTTCCAGGCCGGCTTAGGTAGCTCCGCGAATATTAAACTCTTACGGAACACCGTTACCGTAACCGATCGTATCTTCCTGGCTTTGAGGGATTCCCCTCAGTCTGGGCAAGAAACTGTACCATTGTCAGTAAAGTCCAGTGTCAGTACATTCCTCCTTCAAATCCTCCCATGTGCAAGCAGCAATCGATGGGAAATTACGGTAGAGCAAGTTGGTAACTACCTTTTTTGTAGTTTCTCAATTGAACACCGGTTTCCCTTTGATTCTGCCTCGAAAGGTGCAATTTCAAAAATTTAGTAGCTAGAACATGCCCGGCAAGTCATCGTGACCACTTTTTATCCCATCGTCTATAACTCTACTTTTAACCACATCAACAGAACTATAAATCGTCAATTTTATAGGCAGGTAGATGAGTCGTCGACTTCATAAATAAAATAAAAACATTTTAACGGGTTCGCCGAAGCAGCAGTGAGAGTACTCGTGAAAATTTATTAATCTTCTCGAAATGGAAGACATATACACGTCTAAGAGCCTGTCAGAGACATTACGTGATAAATTTTAAATAATTTTGTAATTATTTTAATTTTTAAATTCTCATAATTCAAGATATGCGATAATATTAAAAATAATACAAATGTTACATACTAACACTGATTGTAAACATTGTAATGATGACAATGTAAGAGTAATAGTATAATATTGATAATAGTGATAATAACAGTCCACTTGCAATAATAATGACAACAGAAAATAAAGGAAAGGTCTTTGAAGCACTCATCCCCGGTCTCGGAATGCGCCCTGCCCTCGGCTTCCATTAAGAATTGCAAACGCGGTTTGAATGCCTATACAATGATTTTCAGTGGCTAGTTGATGTACAAATCAACCCTTTCATCCTTCCAAACAACTCTGGGATCGACTAACGAAATTCGGAGGGATGGGAAGCTTGGATAGCCTGGGCGAGTATCGATCACGACTCGATTCCGGGCACGTGCGCATGTGATAGTGTACCGCTGGCCACTACATCACTTCCGCCTTAGCAACAACAATAGTAACAACAAAAATAATGACAACAATATGATATTAATATCAATAATAATAATAATTATAATTATAATTATAATAACAAACAATAATAGTATCAAACTTTCAGACCTTTTTCTCTGAATCTTTCATTTCCGGTGAAAAAGGAAGTTTTGAATTGAAGATAAATGTATGAATAAAGAAATTATTGTGATTGTTATTAATACTAGTGAATGTTGATCATTGACTTCTGGTTAGTGACTAGTGATTATTGACTACACATATCAGTGAATAAGACCCTCCCCCTCCCCGTCATTGGCTTAGATGAGCGTCAAATACGAAGAACGAAGAACGATAGAGCATGACGAAGAACACGCCAATGAGAGATAACTGAGGCTCTACGTAAATATTCAAAGGTCAGGGTATTAGGCTGTGGAGTGAGAGTAAACAATTTGACAAGAAAACAAAACTTTCATAATAAGCATGCCGATTTGAATTATGGGCAAACATTGCCCTACACAGGTAACCTTGGCGCTACGGACGACGGCAAACCGTTAGTGATTGATAGCATCTTGTCGACAACGTTTATAGTCACACGGTTGGTTCATGGAGGTTTGACCATTGGTGCCATTTATACGCCATGCATTTGACTCTCATTCAGAATCGTAGAACTAATCAAAAGCGTATTTCTCCCTGGATAGCTGACCAAAGAGACCACGGCTAAGTTTCCTATTGTCAAACTTCTGGGACAATGTGGTTTTAGCTGATCAGCTCGGGATATAGTAGCAAAAACGAACATTGATTTGGTTCAGGGTGAATCCTATTCAAAAGGACACCCCAGAATTATGTATACTTATATTGATTCGATACACCAATATACCGCCCTTTCTGCTTTCTTTTTCGGATGGATTTGTCCAACGTGAGCTTTTGTGAGCTTTAAACGTTTATTGTCACTTTAAAGTATTTTTCGAAGGTAACACTACAGATCTGTTATTCAATGCAATGTTGTTCTTCTTATTGTTAGTCACAACCGGTAGCTTTTTTATAGTCAGCACACCATTTCTGATACTTTTCCGCTCCACCATTCTCCAAAATATGCTCAAATCGACTGCGATACTTCTCCAAAAAATACGCTAACAATACTCGATGGACGTATAAGTATTGCTGAAAAAGCCGTAAGTAAGCGAGAGGAAATAAAATCAAAAAGTTCGCCTATGTCCGATTGGAGAGTTGATTTTGAATAGGTGGAAGGCAGGCTTAGAAGAGGACAATGGATTCCTGAATGGACGGTAGTGCTTGGCGTTTTGGCATCAGCAGTGGAAAGGAAAGGAAAGGATCAAAAACCCCTAGAGGGTCGCTCACTCAAAAGTGGCTCTCACTTCACCTAGCCATTGGAAGGGTCCTGGAAACTTTCCAAGAGCTCGGGAGACCCCCACTACCACAACCACCCAGAATTTTTGATTTCTCATTGCAGACTCACAAATCGCTCGAAGTGTTGGGAGGAACGTGTTTGAGAGACTACAGGAACTGTGAAAGGAGTTTGTCTGACTGTAGAAAGATTCAAAGACTGGAGAGATCGCCTCCCCCTCCCCCCCCCCCCTTGCTTCTATCGGATCAGCTCAAGGGTCCGAGCAATGTAGGGTTG